TAATGTCTTTTCCCTTTGAACTATTAATGCCATAATCTAAAAAATATAAATAACCGCGGGTGAGATAAAAATCTCAGTAACTAATATAGTTCTTTAAATGTCTACTATCACAAATAATCCTACCAGAGTAACAAAACTAGGGTAATACCAGATATATATCAAAATATAACGAAATTTCATATTTTTAAAGTATTTCCACATAAATACACACTAGCATAATCATCTAGCCACCGAACCTTCAATGCTTCCCAACACAAATCATAGGCTATATTATATTAATGGGAGAATGACAATTAAGGACCTGCTAAGAATATTAATCCCAATTACGGACTGTGAAATTTTAAAATCCGAGTTAAGGACCATGGTCCTTAATTGTGATAAAAAAATAAAATTTGTGAGATGGGATTCACTAACGCGACTTGGGAATTCACTAACCCAACTTGAGAAAATTACTAACGTATATTGTGAAAACATGAAACCCCACTTGGAAATGGAATGTTTAAAAAAGCGCTACTTGGGAATTCACTAACTAGACTTGGAAAAATTTCTAACATATATTGTGAAAACATGAAACTTCACTTGGGAATCGATTGTTTAATAAAAAACACCAATTTGGATAAGTTACTTTTTATTAATGATTCTCAAGTGGGTTTCATTTTTTCACAATATACGTTAGAAATTTTTTCAAGTCTAGTTAGTGAATTCCTAAGTGACGCTTTTTATTAAACATTCCATTTCCAAGTGGGGTTTCATGTTTTCACAACATACATTAGTAATTTTCTCAAGTTGGGTTAGTGAATTCCCAAGTTGCGTTAGTGAATCCCACCTCACAAATTTCATTTTTTTTTATCACAATTAAGGACCATGGTCCTTAACTCGGATTTCAAAATTTCACGGTCCGTAATTGGGATTAATGTTCTTAACAGGTCCTTAATTGTCATTCTCCCTATATTAATCACTCATTGATCCAAGCTTACTTTCGGTGGTAGAGACACCCAGCTAAAGGTAATCTAACCCACCTACAGACTATGGTTTTCCTCTCCACACTACTATAAAAAAGGAAATATAAAACAATTATTTTCCTTACTATTTAACGGTTATAAACCATTGAGTAAGCTGGCGTTGAATATTATATAACCATGTATTCAACAGTTTTTAACCATTAAATATTTTTCATTTATTCAATGGTTTTTATTCCAAAACTATGGCATAAATTTTGGAATTTAAAATGAGAAATTGTGAGAGATAATATTCAACAATTTTGGACTAAAAACTACTGAATATTTTCCTATTATTCAACAATTTTTCACTAATAACCGTTGAATATATATATGTATTCAGCGGTTGTGTGATGAAACCGTTGAATAGTTTTTTGATCACATTCAATAGTTTTCTCTCATAACCGTTGAATATTATGACCTAATTTTTTCCATTGTCCACCCTGCATTTCTAGCACCCCCCTACATTGTAAATTACAAAACGATATTCCAGCACCCGACATAAATTCCAGCTAATAATAGTTACGTATATACATATAAATATATAATGAATTCCTATAGAAAACTTATATACAACTTGAAGTGATTAAATTAAAGCAATTAGTGGCTAAAACATAAAGCTCCAAATTCCAAAATTTGCCTGTTTCCTAACTATCATTGTTGCTGGCTATTGAAAGTAAACCATGCTTTAAAAATACCATGTGCTAACTCTTCAAGGACTTCTTCCATTTGAGCATGAGTATACGTGTCACAGTATGTGTCTTTATAGTACTATATGCAACAACAATAAATTAAAATCATGTTTATTGATAAAAACTAATAAAATATTAATGAATAGGAAGACAATTACATCATTCGAAAGAATTCCAGTTGGAGCATGTTGGATTTTGTGCTTCATGAATTTCATTACAGCGTACCCACAATCCCTAACTTTGTCTGCTTGCTCTGGGCACTACAATCATACAATGGATAAAATAACCAAATAGTTAATTAATAATATGATATGACCTATACAGTGATATTTCCAACATAATTAATGATAAATACATATACCTTAACAATTGTCCATGATGCTGTTGTATCAAACCGACCGTTCCCCTTTACTAGTTGTCGAAATTATTGATTAACATTAGTGCAGTACATGACAATAGCCCTAACATGAAATAGAAAACTTGACATAAGAAATATTCATACAAAAAGAACACATTACATATATGCAAACAAATTAATCAACTTACTGATTAATCATTTTCACAATATATGGTCTGTTAGAGGGATGGCCATTCTGAATAGGGTCAAGGTACCACACCCTCCTTAAAGTTAGATTGATTACAAGCAAAATCTAGTATCCCTTATGATAAAAAATATAATTAGAAAGTATCATATAAATAATTAAATTTTGAATAAATTAAAGTGATGCATCATAAAGTAACTTACCCTTCACAATATGGGGTTATAAATATTGTGTTTTTCTTAGCACCACATTGCTGGAAGTACTTTGAAAGCTTTTGAGATATTTCTAGTCCTTGCTTAGGACTCATTATGTCATGGCCATAAGGAGAGACCATATGTAAGGTCTACCTTGACATTACCAAAATTCACCACACAATCACAACAACCAATCATAATTAGGAGCAAGGATTTGCTCCTCATCTCACATTATATATAAAAGGGTTAAAACTAATAATCTTTTAAAAATAATTGAGGAATATTTGGGATCCCATAAAAACCCTTAATTTGTTAGTTTGAGCTCAAACTTAATGATTTATAAAGGTGTTGGAAGTATGGAAAAGTTTTGGGAAGTAAACCACTTCAAAACAGGGTCAAAAATGTCATTTTTGAGTGTTTTGGTCCATGCACTGTGGCTCGTGGTCTATGTGCTGCAGCTTGTAGAACAGAATGCCATGTTTCCTCATTGTACTATGTACCACAGCTTGCGCAAAATGTGCCACGGCGCACATGTCCATGACAGCAATGCTGTCATAATAGCTTTTCTGGACGAACTTCAAACGCATGCCATTTTCACATACGATGTCCGATTGGAGTGATTCAAGTGTTCACACGAAGATTATTCAATAAGATAACTAATGGTACAAGTTTCGTTATGATCCGACACTGTATGAGAATTTTACATACTCTAATGCAAAAGTCAATTTTTCAAAGAAATTTTCAACCATTTAAGTACCCAAAACTCATAACTAATACCATTAACCCATTGTAAGGCTTAAACCAAATCCAATGGACCAAAATACACTTGAGTGACCAATCAAACACACAAAAACATACCAGGCCACTCCATGGCCATTTTGCCTAATATGGCCAAAATGCACAATTAGCACTATAAGCACTATTTGGCCTCTATTGCCACATAATACACCACTAATACATTATCACCACTTAGATAAAACATTCCTTGCACTTGTATTAGTATTTTAGCCCATCACCATAAAAATTTTCACATATTCACCTCATATACAATATTAGGCTAAAATACACAACAACATAGTATGAAATAAGTGCAACCAATCAAAATGATATGCATTCCTAGTTGGCAACATATAATATCATATAATAAGTTTATGTATACTACTTAAACCAAAATCAGGCTTTACAAAGAGTGTAGCAGATATGCTAGCCCTTGCTCGATTCCTTCCCTAGCTCAGTCTCACTGGTAGCACCTATAAAATGATAATCCACAGGGTGAGATAAAAATCTCAGTAACAAAGATAATCTACATTATTGATTAACAAGCCAAGTTATAAACAAGCATTAAAATAAGTAACATGATCACATCATATAAGATCACCATAAATTTGCATGCATGATCCCTAACTATCCGGTCCTCCAATACTCCCGACTAAACCAGTAGGCTATTTCACAGAACCAAACCACATGTATGGTCCCCAAGCTCACCATCCATGGTAGGAGTACCCAATCAAGGTGTCTTAAACTACTTTTGGACTACTGTTTCCCCCTATTACAAGTAATTAGGGTATCGTTACTCAAACACCGCATCCTACGGATCCTAAGGAGTATAATCTCTAACTCCGTACCCTTTTGGGTACAAAGGAGAGTAAGTCTCCAACACCGCACTCATTTTCGGGCACTAAGGAGAGTAAATGCTGCACCTAACATCCTGAGTTGCCAGCAATGCCATATGGACTTAATCTTCACTATCTTCACTAGGGTGACCTCCCACCCTCTAATATGCCACATTTCACTACATATCTCCACTTGACCATGTATAAACAACTTTTCAAACAAGTATAACAAAATCTTTCCATTTACTTCAAAAATATAGAATTTTACAAACAATACTCCACTTTTTCTAAAATAGTTAACCTTTAAAGAATTTATGCATATATACTCAACAACTCATAGAAAAGCAACTTGAGAATAACTTATACAAGGTAATAAATAATGCAAATTATCTAGTTACCTCAGTCCTTTTATTACTAAAAGGGTTACCCGTGGTACTAAATTTCTTCTTGTGTCAAGGTAAATCTTCCCACACTACAATCTACATCAACAAATACTATATATTAATTTTCAATTAACACAAGCACCATTAGCTAATAATAACCTCCCAATTCTCCTACTTCTCACTCAAATTCTCAACAAATAGACTTGTCAAGATTAGAATTTGTTCACATCATCCCTTCAAGTCTCCTTCTAACTCTATCACAACATAAAACTCAATATCCCAACTTATCACACTTCAACACCCTATGATCAAGATAAAGCTTGATCCAACTCCCACTAAACAACAAAGTAGCTTCATATTACCACATATTCAAGATCAATAAACCTAAATTAAACCTTTAGAGTCAATAGAATCCTTTAAAACATTGACTCATGGCTTAATCCCATCAGACCAAATTCTCACTCTTCTAAATCCCATGGAAAATGAGATGAAAAGGTAGAGGAGAAGGGTAGGAAACTTACCCAAGAGTTTGAAAGCTCAAATGATCTTTAAAATCCTTCTAAATTAATGCCCCAGTAGTGCCCAAAGTTGCCCCCTTCGTGCTCTAGGTTTTTCCACCCCAAAAACTGTCCATTTTTTATGATTCCAGAAAATTTAAGTTGCCTGCTGTGCCGTGCACCGCAGTACACGCCACGCAAGCCGTGGTTCACGATGCAGCAAGCAACAACTTGATGTTGCTCCCCCTGATGCTTCCTGACTTGATCTGACTTTCATCCTATCTTAATTTAGAGCTAAATATGACCCAAAAATCCAATTAGCCACCTAAGCAGCTAGCAAGTCCACATATGAATCATTAAGAATTGAAGAACCTACCATATTCACATTTCTCTTTTCCCTTGTAGAGTATTGAGCACCACTTGAAGCCATCTTGTCAATTAGTTCCCAAGCCTTTAAGGAAGTAAGGTCAATTAAGCATCCACCACTAGCGGCATCAATGTTAACTTTGTCTCTTGGAATCAAGCCCTCATAGAAATATTGGACTAAATTCTCACTAGAAATTTGATGGTGTGGGCATTTAGCCAAAAGGCCTTGGAATCTAGTCCAATACTCATAGAGACTCTCATCCTCTCCTTGTTGGACCCCATAGATTTGCTTCCTCAAATTGGTGACCTTAGAATTTGGAAAGAATTTATCTAAGAAGAGTCTTCTTAGCTCGGCCCATGTGCTCACTTTCACATAAGAAGGGTAGTTGAAATACCACTCCTTTGCTAAACCTTCAAGAGAAAATACAAAAGCCTTAGCTTGAACATCATCAACATTTACATGCATAGGCTTCATAGTATCACAAACCAATAGGAAAGTATGCAAAAACCTATGGCAATCCTCTCCTGGTAACCCATGAAATTTAGGCAATGCATTAATCAAAGAGGATTTAATTTCAAATTGAACATTAGTAGGAGGAACATATAAGCCATAAGGATTATCATGCCAATTAGGTTGAGTTAATTGCCTAATGCTCCTCTCCTCTCTAGGGTTATGCAAGCCTTCAAATTCATTATTAACATGGCCATCATCATGCAAATTCTCATTCCCATTCCCATGGCCCTCATTATGCACATGCTCATGTCCTAAGATACCTTCCATTGTTGAATTACAAACCAAATGAGAATCAAGAATAGGTTGTGATCTTCTCAATCTAGAAATAGTCCTTTCAATTTCTGGATCTAATTCAACAAAAGAGGTATGTTTTCTTCGGGTCATGCACTAATCAAGCTCAAAAAAAATTAAGAACAAAGAACAAACTAAACTAAAATGCAAATCAACATGAAACAATTCAAAACACACAAAAGCAAGAGAAATAATTTTTTTTTATTTTTTTTATTAAACTCAATAGCAACAAAATGAAAAAAAAAAAAACACCAAACAAGTAGGAAGAGAGTTAGAAATGCTCAATCAAGAAGCTTTGGCAATTCTGGAATTCGCACAGTAGGCTCTCTGGAGACCGTGAACTTGTGAATTTCTATCAGCAAATCCACATGATAAATTCCCCTGAAAATTTTATGAGAAACACAAGAGATATACAGGAAAATTATATAAAACTTTCAGATTAAAAATCCTTCCAAATCGTTCCCAGAATTTTTCACAAGTTGGTCCTCAGGTCTGGAGAAACAGGATTTCGTCCAGAAGACCTTCAGAGCTTCTAACAAACTTTCAAATAGGAAAATAGAAAAATTGAAGAAAATCCTAAACACAAGAAACAAAGATAAGACAGCGATAAGAAAAATGAAACTGGAATCAATCAATTTGAACGCACAAAGACGAAGATATGCTAACTCAAAGTTGAAACAGGGTTTTGGGAATCCTCTGTAATGGCTCCCTGGACCTTGTTAGATTGTAAAATTTCCACAGGACACTTCCCACGTCCAAAATTGACCAAACCAATTTTAAAGTGAAGCTAGGATATAGAGCTTTCAATGAAATAAATTCCACGTTCAAATTCCCTCAGACTCATTCCCAGTTAATTTTTCAATTTCAGACAGAGACACTAGAAACAGAGTATTTTCAGCTCTACACCAAACCAACGAAAATTGCACTAAATTTTTTTTTTTTTCAAAACAGAATAAAAACACTCAAAACACACAAAAAACACTAAACAAGACACAAAAAACAAATTTTTATAATTTTTCAAAAGATTTTCCAGGAACACTAAAAATGTAAATTAAGTACTAAACAACCTTAAAATTAAACTTAAACCATTCTCCGGCAACGGCGCCAAAATTTTGATAGGAAATTAGTCGCTTATCCTCAAAATTACACTAAAGCTAACCCTAATGCAATATAGGGCCAACCTTAGGTCATCTCCCAAGGAATGGTTTTAAGTCTAATTGAAAGTTATCTAGTGAAATAAATCAACCAAAGTTTGTAGGAATTTAGTTATCTAGCTAATTATCTAAACTAATTACCTAATATGCAAGTAATTAAAATGCTAGTGAAAGTGAGTGAAATGAACTTCCCTTTTTACAATAATGGAACCCTAGAGATTAGTTGATTTTGGACTCATTATCTTCTCATGATTAGGCTAAGTTTAGCTTCCCTTTCCTCTTGACTAAAGCTGTCATGACTTAAGAAAATTATCCTAAGCCAATTAACCTAATTAGCTAACCTCCCTAGGTCTTAGATTAAAGTCCCTAGTTCAATTAACCAATTGGTGAAGACATTAGCCAAGTGATTCATTCAAAATCCTCTCTCAACAGCCATGGTCAAACATATAAATTGAGCAACCACAAGATTATGTCAAGCTACTCAACAACACAAGCATTAACACCACAAGATTATGCAATATTAACACAAGAAATTCACTAATTGAAAAACACAAGATTATGTGCCAAACAAAGAGTGGCAAAATTCAGTCATGGCTGTCCAAGGAAGAAATTAAATGAAACAATCCTCTCTCTTTACATCAACATCAAATTCAAATTAGAATTTATAAGCTAAGATGATTAAACCCTAGATTAAGGAATCTAACCATCTAGTAAAAAGAGAAGAGGATAGGAAACAAAAGAACTTAGCCAATTTGAAGCTCAAGACTCATCCTCCATCTTCATCTCTCTAGGATTCCACAAAGAATCTTAGCCAATCTTCATCTTCAAGAACCCTAGTGATTGCTTGTGAAGGCCAAACTCCATAGCTCTTGAATGATGAAAATGAGCTTCAATCCTTGTGAAAATGGAAGGGATGGAACGAAAATGAAGAGAGGAGAAGAATGGTATGAGTTTTGTGGAGGTTTGGTGGCTGAAAATGGAGGTTAGGGTGCTGGAAAATGAAGAACAAAAGAGAGAAAATGAAGAACACTATGAACAAAAAGAGAGAATGTGGAAGATGAATGAGATATGTGTTGGATCCCATTTGGGACTTAAAATGGCGTGCTCCTTGGTGTCTCCCATCAGCTGAAGCTTAATTAAAATAAGGAAAAAGAAATTAAAATGTAAATGGGAGCCTTGTCACACTTGCAAGGTGGCAACTTCCTATTGGTTTGTAGATGATTCCAATGTGTGCCTAATTTCCCATGTGTCATCCACATCATTTTAGCTGATCTAATCCCTCAAAATAATCATAATTCACGTGCAAACCATCAGCCATTGTCCTCAAGGAGTGTTGACCTCAATTGCCCAATTGATGCACAAGTCACATGCCACCTATGTCACATAAATCACATAATTCAATTAAATAGCATATGATATAATAAAATCTAATTCATGTCCAGAATTAAATTCATATTTAGAAGGGAGAATTTATTAAATTAACCAAGTTTCAGGCTGCACAAAATTATATAAAAATTTTCACACAAAAGCAAACCAAAAACTAGGACAAACTAAGACACTTAAGAAAGTGTTGACTTTTTTATTTAATTACTCCCAAACTAAAATGAATTTTAAAAATATAATTTCACTATTCATCAACTGGACATAAAATGCACTTTGTCAATTTTTCTTGTACATTTTCTCAAAAGTTCATTTTTTGGACCAAAATGCCCTCAAATCAGATGTCGGATGGTGAAATGACGCACTTCGAAAGTTTGGAGAGAAGCCATGACAGCAATTGGCAGTAGGTGCGTGACACGGCATATGATTGTTGCGCTATGGGGCAAGAGGCCATCGAGGAATTTGTCCCTCTGTGCCATTCGCCACAGTGGATGGACTAGATAAGAGCAAAATGACTTTTTTAGTTTGTTTTAAAAGGAATTGATTTCCATGCTTTCGTATTTGCTTTTAATCAATTTTAATCATGGTTTGAGCTCAAACAATTTTAAAAGGGTTTTTTTAGGATCCTAACATTTTAAATTAATTATCCTTAAACCCTTAAGTTATGGTAACTCTTTCAGAGGATTTTATTTAATTCGAGTTATCATAATGATGTGAGTGTTTTCCTAGTAATGTCAAGGCAGACATTACAAAGTGCACATGTTGTTATTATTTTTTTGATTTGTTTTTTAACTTATTCTTTTTTATTTATTTAATCTTGATTATTATTGCTTTCATAGGGAAATGGCTACTAAGCATGATCATCTTAACACTGGCTCTAGATCCAATAGTCTGAGTAGGCTGCATGATGACCCAGCTAAAAAGAAGGCTGACCTTGATAGGCAGGAAGAACAATTGAGTAAAGGGTTAGTTGTGAAGGAGGAAGTCACTAAAGTAAGAAATGAAGGAAAAAAATTTACTGTCAAGTGGAACAATAAGAATTGAGTAGTTGACAGTCATAATTTTATTAGTTATATTAGCATGGCAATAAAGTCCTCAATGCCTATTACTTTAAAATCTTGGAAGAATGCAACTCCAGCAATGAAGGATGCAGCGTGGAGAACTTTAACAGTAAGATACTATCACTTTGCTTATTTTTTAAAACTTAATGTTTTGCAATCGTTTGTTTAAATTGACATATTCGTCTTGTAGTCAAGATTTAAGATCGAGGAGAGGCACAAGAAGTTTCTTCTACAGAAAGTTGGGATAGCTTTAAGATCTTTTAGAAGTTTGGTTACCCATAAATTTTTGGCGAACCCTGACATAGAAGGTATTGAAGATACAATTCCTTTCCTCCTTTCAACAATTGTAAGTGAGAATGAATGGAAGGCTTTTGTCAACTCACACCGCAGTCCAGAGTTCAAGGTAATATTAATGTTATTATATTTATTTATTATTGCTTTTGTTGTCACCTCCTTTTTATATTAATTGACTTGTCATGTTTTGTGTTTTTTTCAAAGGCATTAAGCACAAAAAATAAAGAGTTGGTGAAGAAGAATGAATATACATATAAGGCTGGACACAAGGGATATACGGGAGTTGAAAAGGGCTTGATTGAGAAAGAGCAAGCGTCAAAGGGTTCTATATCCCATGGCAAGATTTGGGCTGAGGCTCGAAAAAATAAAGCAGGCAATATTGACAACCTAAAAAGAAAAGCGGTTGTCAAAATAATAGTAAGTATTAATGATATATTGATATAATGTTATTAGTTTTTACTTATTCACTTTGCTTTTTTCTGCTTTATAAGAGACTTTGACTCGGGAGGCATTAGCAGGCACTCAAACTATTGATAAGGATATATTAGAGAAGGCATTGGGGAATACTAACCATCTTGGTCGTGTTCAGGGCATTGGCTTTAGAGTCATAATAAAAGATTACCTTGGCAATGTGTTCAAGCACAGTAAAAAGGCTACCTCTTCTGCTGAGGTTCAAGAGTTGAGGCAAGAGATAGCAGAATAGAAGTAGTAAATACTAGCACAATTGCAACAAGGACAATCTAGACTCATCAACATGCTATTGAGTCAATATAAGTTGGGGCTTCCACTGGGCGACAGTAGCCCTAGTATGAACAATAGTTGCACAGTCCCATCTCAGCTCCTACCTAAGGTATTATTATTCATTTTACTATAATCTTACACATAATACTACTTTTATTGTTCATATTACATAATTTTTTTCTTTTTTTTAATTTACGTAAGGTGAGGCCAACGTTGATTGTTTGACAGAAGACTACTATGTGGTTGCACTGGGGCGCATGTACAACATTGCTGGGCAAGTGATGCTTCACAATGAACACATCCCTGAAGGGACAATGAAAGTCTCTGTGAAGACAGCTGAGGACCTTAATTATGATCTACCCTACCCCACTCCGGATGCAAGGACAATAGTAGATGCATTGCTAAGCTTTATTGCATGGCCAATTTGTCTTCTTCATATTTTGGCACCATCTCCAAAGGTATATTTGTTAAACTCATAATTGAAAATTAACT